CATGACAAGGACTACGTTCTCGTGACTTCAGTAAGGTGAGTGATGCCCAACAAAAATATTATCATACTGAAGTAACTTTTAATTACAGGCCTACCTTAGGGCTATGCCTCATAGATCTATAAAGCAATTCCTTTTATCATTAGATATAAAATATGGACTAACTCGATCGGGTAACATTTAATTGCGAAGCATTCGTTTTGGCTTTGAAACTGTCAGATATTGTATTTGCGAAGGTTTTTATGTATTCCTATACAGTAATAGTTTTGCCAGCATATCTGGAAAAATGCACACTAAATATGCAAACCAACTCCAGTTCTGAATATGAGGTTTCTACTTACTACAAGATTCCCGTACGTAGAACGGGCAAACAGCTAGTCATTCATAAACGAAAAAACAGAAAACAATTGAAAAAAAAACTTTGTTCCCATACAATATCACAGCTATTTGCATTATAATCTTAAAAAGCCAAAGAAACATAATAAAATAAGTCTGAAAAACCACAAGTAAATTAGGAAGCCAATTAAATCCACAAACATCAAAATTTACAGATTCCAATAGCCTAGAGGACACAGGAGTGTACAAACTATCCTGGCTGTGAATCTTTGAAAATGTTTATCAGACAAGCAGGTCGTCCAATCAAGTAAATGTTTGAAATTCCCCATGCCCAAATTGAGGATACAACATTCTAAGTTCACTTAACACCTAAATAATTACAAAAACAACACTATTAACAGCTTTGGTGATAGCCTGAATATCTTTCACATGCACTAAAGGCTTAACAAACCTTATAGAAAGCTATAAAATCTACAAAGCAATAAGAAAATATCCCCACAAAGTTTTTATTGAAAAGCTTAATTTTGGCCGTGATACAGTAATTGATAGGATTGAGGATACAAAGGCTCATAATCAGCTGTTCCACCTTTTACAAGGTCAATGTTACCAGACAGAAGTCAATTATTTGTGTTGTAGAGGTCGTGAGGAACGAGCTGAGCCTTGGACCTTGAACGGAGAACCGGCTAAAACTGGTTTTGGAGTGGTGGGGGACGAGCGGTCGCCAGTCGAATGCTTTCTCCCGCTGAGTTCACATCGTGATTACGCGCCTTTCTAAAAACATTTTTCGACAAATTTACTCGATTTAGTTTAGCGTTTAGTGTGTTAGTTTAGTGTAGTTAAAATGTGTGATAATAGACACAACAAAGTAGGTGGTAAGATTTTGCATAGCCAAGCTAGGGAAATTATTTCTAACGTGTACAGTTTTATGAAAAGAGAAGCAGAGCAAGGACCTTTGTTATTGAAGCAAGTGCAACAGCGTGTAGCGGAAGCAACGGGAGTGTCCAAGGCGTCAGTGAAGAGGATTTTGAAGGAACAGAGAACCGCACCGGCGACAGGTCCCAAATTTTCTACACCAAGGAAAACGTGGCGAAAAAGAAATAAAAAGACTACTTTTGACGACTTTGATAAGACCGTAATAAGACGAACAATCCATGAATTTCATAAGGTTAGTGGTCAACGTCCTACCCTAAAAACTTTGCTACCAGTTTTGAGAGAGAAGATTGAGTTTAGAGGAGGTATATGGGCGCTGCGGCAAGTAATTAAGGAGCTTAACTTTAAGTGGAGAAAATCTGCCGATAATAGGAAGCTGTTGACTGAAAAACATGAAATAAGAGAGCAAAGGGTTAGTTTTATTCGACAAGTTAAACGTTATAGAGAAGAGGGTCGGCCCATCATTTACACAGATGAAACATATGTGCATGCTTCCCATACAAAACCTCAGTCATGGTCGGATGGAAGCAACAAAGGTCTTTTTACCTCTATTTCAAAGGGGCAATACGCAATAATTGTCCATGCAGGGAATGAAAATGGGTTTGTAAATGATTCATTGTTGATCTTTAAATCAGGTCAAAAGTCTGGGGATTATCATGACTGTATGAATTTTAAAAATTACAAAACATGGCTGACAGAAAAACTGATCCCGAATCTACCTCCAAATTCAGTGCTCGTCATAGACAACACATCATACCATAATAAACAAGTAAATCCTGCTCCAACTAGCAATTCCAAAAAAGCAGACATAGTGCAGTGGCTAGTTAACCACAAAATTCAGTTTCATGACAGCATGCTTAAAACAGAATTGTACCAACTTGTTAAACTTAATAAGAACCCTCACAAAACATTCGAAATTGACGCTCTACTAGCTGAACATAGCCACTCTGTCTTGCGCCTTCCTCCCTATCATCCCGACCTCAACCCAATAGAGATGATATGGGCCCTGATAAAAAACCACGTTGCACTAAAGAACGTAAGCTTCAAACTTAACGATTGTATTCAACTTGTACGAGAAAAAGTTCAAGATATTACACAAGACGAGTGGGCAAAGAGATGCGAGCACGTTCGAAACGTTGAAGATAAATACATGGAGTATGAAGTATCCCTTGAAGACATCACGGAAAGATTCATCATAGACATTGGAAGGGACAGTAGTGATGACGAAAGTAGTGATAGTGAAGAGTCCAGCCATAGTGATGGGGACATGAGTGGCATCGAAGAACTCTAACACAGACTACTGTCAGAAGAATGTAGGAAGTAAGTTGACAGCATTTATTACTTTAATTACTATGTTCCAAATCGCAGTAGGTGTAAACCAGTTAAAGATATTTATCAATATATTGAATTGCAAATATACAATTTATTGGCAGTATTATATTTTAAAACTTCATAATTAAGATATTATTTTCGTTCTCTCAAGAATACAAAAAAAAACTTTTAGTAAGCAAATAGAAATACATACTAACACTCAGAGTTAAACAATAATAATAATAAAACTGTATATTTTAGACGTACATCACTAATTATTTATTAGTAGGCGTTTAAACTTGAACGCAAATTGTTTTTGTCGAGAGGTAGGGCCTACGCTAATGTGCACCGTCAGGGTAGTACATCGCTGCGCCTCGCCGCCGCTGCATCGCGCATTTCCCCTTCGCCGGCAGCCACTCCCACCCTATCCTACCGCTCCCCCAACTCAGGGCTCATCTCGTTCCTCACGACCTCTATCAGTCTCTGTGCGTGCTATAGCCGCACATTATTTTATGTTAACATAACATATTCGTGTTTGTATAAGTTAAGTGTTGTATTTTTGTGTACTGACAATGACCATGTGTTCTAATAATTTGAAGAGGATTAGAAGCTTGAAAATGAAACTGTTGTTTAAAAACTAGTTACCCAAGACTGAGACTTAACTAGGATTGACAACATAAGGTAAACCTATTTATACTGTTATAAATCAATCCTGTTAGCAATGATGAGTACCTAATTATTTACTTAGTTCATTCCTTCCATAATTCCGCCCTCCGATTGGGAAAATCATTAAATTTTAACCTTCCCAATATTGTTAACACTGCAATTTGTGGGTACCCCTGATTATTACAAGTTTCTAAATCTTGTTTGTCAAAATCAATTTTAGAATACAAATTCAGCAATAACATTAGTACATCTAATAGCTATTTACCTTATTTACCTTTACAAGTGTAGTAAGAGCGTTTTTACATCACGCAGGTGAATGTTGTGCAACGAGTGGAAACAAGTTGCATAATTCACCTACCTGATGTAAACACGCTTGTGTAACGTGTAACGTACACGATTTTACCTGACCCGACAATATACAGGGGGTTACGTACAATATTTTTCATTATCCATTACTGTACACTCATCTTCTAAACAGTAACGTTCTTTTACAAACAAAAGCTAGGTTAGGAAAATACCTTAAAGCATAACAATAAAATTCAAGCACACAGCTGATTTCTAGCGTTGAACGTCGTTGGCTTTATAGAGGTATATTTTTTTAAGTTGAGCACTCATGTTATTTAAATGGGTTTCATTACTTCACCGAGTGAGTTTTTGAAACTTTACTTCACTCGTGAAGTTAAGAAGTTGTATACATCATGCTTGGGATAGGGAAGTTTAACATGGCGGGTTAGGCAAAGTCATTGAAGCCACTAAAGTGAGTGAAAAGTTCCTTGTTTTTCCAAAAAAAGTTAGTGAAAGGAACTGATTTGTATTCAAAGTAAATATAAGGTACTCATGTCCCATATTTTGTTCAGGGCTACACCAATTTTAAACAGTAAATTTCTTTATTTTCATTTGTTGTCCACTAAAATAAGGAGTAACAATAGAAAAGCCTTGACAAGCTGTATGACCATAACCTCAGTTTTGAAATGGACGTGTAAAAAATGTTATCATGTTTTTTTTTTTTAATTAGTTATGGAAAGTTTAAGGAAAGTAATTAATTTGTTAAGATGTATATGAACACAAAAAGAACTCGTACAGTGCATTTTTACCCTAGATCATTTTACACTCAATTTTTAATCAACTCATAATTTTAAAAATTCATGGTATTTCCCATATTATAATACAGGGTAATCAGCTGTGAAAACATTGAATAAGAATGTTCTAAGTTGGGAAAAAACTTGAATTGATCCTTGACCAGTAAAACCTTAAAATATTGGATTCCGATCCTCGATTCCTAAAAATCTTTTAAAACAGGTTATAATTATCTGCAGCGCACTGTTCAGCTACAGGTCGTCTGAGGGTGGTGGGTGTAGGCTCGTTGGAAAGCCTACACTATGCCATTATCTGTAGTCATAGAACAGTGAGCTATGTGCATTTGTTATCAAGTCGTTTGAAAAAAGTTATGATTCAGTCATTGCAACTCAGCGGCAGTTCCATTCATCCTTTCAATTACGTTGACATGTAGAGGTTCCGTCGTGATTATCTGTATGGATATTCATAAAATGTAAACAGATTAGTTCAAATTCATCTTTAGGGATAAAAACTTTGTAATCTAGAGGTCAGACAGGTTTAAAGCAGCCGCTAGTTTACTGCTAACATAAACATAACATAAAAAAAACAATTTGTTTATAAAACTGTATTTTCTTAAAAATATTTGTCCGGTGTGCATTTATAAATGAAATCTTTTTAAATGTAACCATTGAACTGTCCCACAGGAATGGGCGGAACTTGGGAAAGGCGTTTTCATCCCTTGTACAAGGTCCTGGCTGTGTTTACTACCCTGCTGTCAGTCTGGCTTTTGAGGAGAAGGTGAAAAAATAATGAATTCTTTGATTGGTGTGTTTCTAATATACAACTTACAACATTAGTGGCAAAAATCTTTTATGTCTTACCGTTTTCTATATTGACGAAGGAATAAGGAATTAATTTATAACTAACATACCCAAAGAAAAAGTTCTAGGCAGTTTATGGCACACCGAAAAATCACAACACAACCTTTTTCTGGGTTTGCTATCGTGTGATAGCGATTGACCATTAGGGGGTGCAAAATCTATCCAGAAGACATAGGGTTTATGTTTAAACATTTAAACAGTTGAGGTGCCCCCACCCCATGCTTACTTCCTTATCACCACCACTAATGATTTTAACTGTCTAGAACTATTTTCTTAGGAGTGTTAAGGTGCATCTAGTCCTTCTTCCTCAATATATTCTGAAGCCAGGTACAGTTTTTTTCTCTAAAACTCTCGATTTAAACAACTCTGTAGCCAAAAGATAGTCTACATTTAAAAGACAAATTTTTCCTTAAATAGATTATTCCTAGGATCAATATTTAAACATGTCCTTTTTAAAAATGTGCATTTGGCTTAATCTTAGTTTACCTATTACGTGTTGATTGTGTCCAGATACAAGCCAATTTCGGCGCGTTGCCGTTTAAGTACCCGGTGGACGGATACGAGCCAGCCCAACAGCCACCGGCCGCAGCTGTTCTCAGAACCAACCAGCTGCTGCACTGGCTGTTCCGCGCCTCCACCATACCCAAGTACAAACAAGTCATCAAGGTGAGTCATCACAACTACACGGATCAATGAAAACTAGCATTTGGTTATTGTTAAATAGGAATAACTTGTGACTGACTAACGCCTGTGGCTTATAAATCATTGCTGCTCATCACCACAATAATAAATTGTGCAATTTTCTACTGTTTTGGAGACTTCCTAGAAGTACTGAGAAATCCCAGGAGATCTGCATAGGGGTGGGAATTTTATATATTCTTCGACTTTCTTTCTGGAATAAATGAAAATTTATGCTGCTGGTAGTACGAGATACTCAAATCAAATCAAAATCTACTTTATTTCCATAAAAGAGTACAGTGGAAAATGTAAACACACTTCCACTGAAACAAAACATTTGAGTTACTATTACGCAAAATAAAATTTTACATGTAAACTTAGGAATAATGTCAAGTATTGTAGATTTCACAGAAAGTTTTTGTTCAATAGAAAACATTTGGGAAATAAGCCTACATGGGCTGGGAGCCTGTGCGTAGGCTCAGTCGCTATCAGTGACTTACTTAATGTGTGTATTAAAAAAATTACAAACATTAAGTCAAAATTAAAAAAATGTAATAGTAATTAATTGTGTAAAGAATATATCTGAATCTTAATGAGTCGCTATTAGAGAGGATGAAGGAAAGCAAAGGGCATGGACATGTGCAGTATACTCAATAGCCAAGTAGTTAGTAATGGTTACGGAGGAAACAAGTAGGGTCAAGTCCGCCTGTATTCTGCTTCATCCTGCTATACTAGTTGTGTGTCTAATAGGATGGTAATCATAAAATGAGTTGCAGTTTGACCTATTAGATACAATCGGTCCATTACAACAAATACTTTGTTTTTGATTGACAGAAAACCAGCGACCTCAAGAGGAAAGAGTCACCGGAAGTAGCTGTTATGATGATTTGTGAAATTCTCGTGAAGCCTTTGTCAGAGCTACTCGGTCGGCCGTACATAGTTGAAGCTTGCCTCGTGCCTTTTCTACAAGATATCACAGCTGTCACTGTGGATAAGAAGAGCTTGCCCGCAAAAAGATCGTTGGACAAACTGAATTTTATCTGCGACACCTTCAATCTTTTTTACGAGGTAAAGCTTTACGTGATTTTATTTTACTTATCTTTCAAAGGTTGATTTGCCGATTTGCAATCAGCTAATTTACCTAGTAAACAGAAGGTTACTCTGATCAAAGTTAGTATTTTTATCATAGTTTTTAACTAGACCCTTGAGTTGAGTTGTAGCTGTCAAATATTCCTGCATTAGAATCAGGCAATTTTGATCAACAAAGATATCTTCTCATGCATTCAACACTCCTCCGTCGCTCGTCTTTGCCTTGAAATACTCACTGAGATTGTTCTGGTCTGTATGAATCTAAATCTAATCTTTGTAGCTTCACTTGATTCATTATACCACTATAGTGGTATACCCACGGATATTAGGACAGAAACGGTATGAATCATAAGTTACACCTGAAAATAAACATATAAATGGAAATGTAAAAAAAAACTTCCAAACCAGCTGTTACTGCTATTAGAAAATAGATACTCAGCCCAGTGACGTAGTTTGTTTATGTTTATGATTCATACCCACTTCTATTCTATTCGTGGGTATACCCCGTGTTGAACACTACACCGTGTTAGATGGGGATGCGACAATGTGTATTTGAACCTAAATATCAATCAAAAAGATTTGTGGAATGGGTGAGATTGAGTTTGAATGCAGTTTTTACTCCCTATTGTCTTGCATATAATTAATTTAATAAGTGATAAAGTTTCTATGTCGAGAATGGTTTTGAAAGCATAAAAAAATGTAATATTAATTTAAATAAATAACTTTTTTTGTGGTATTTCAGCCGGACGACCTAAAAGACGTGATCAACGCTGTGTGCAAGTGCCTTTTACAGAAGTGTAGCCAAACTTCAGTGTCTTTGGATTACAGTAAACAGAAAAGTAGTTTGGTGTTGTTGGTGGACTTGCTTCACAACCGCAATGTGCGGATGACACTCTTGAAGCTGCCGGGATTTATAAAAATAAGGTATGTTTACATTTTCCCTCTGTTTCGTTTTTATTTAACCACCACAAAAGTACATACACGGGTTGTTCAGAAAGTATAGAACGTTTTGGAACAAAAGAAAAGTTTGTGCTGAAAAATATTACTCTATATATTTGAAAGAGCAACTAAAATGCTACTTTTAACACAGTTACCTACGGAATTGAGACATTCGGTGAAGAAATTTATCATAGCGGTGAACAAGCTTTGAAATTCCTTTGTCGTAGAATTCTGTCGCCTGCAATCTCGCCACTCAGTAACACAGAGTTGGAGCCTCACGTTGTTATTAACGCGCTGTGCTGCTTACCAAGTCTCTTTGGAAACATATGAAATTCATTCAACGGGCAGTCCAACGACATTTCCGCCAATGACATTCATTGGGTAAGTGAACAACGACTACCGGTATACTAGAAAGTGCGTGATAAGGGCAGTAATAAAATACCCAACAGAAAATTTGAACGCACTTGAGTAAAATGTATGTTTTACAAAGAGTCTAAGACACATTAAAAAGACATTTTCGATAAAGTATGCAATCCATATTTCATTTTTATTCTTCCCAGTAACCTTTGTACATGTTCATTCAAATTTAAGTGTTAATCAATTGCAATTGCTAAACCTAGGCATTTTTTTCTAATTTCCCATTCTAGGATATAGGTTTGAGCCAGGAACTACTTTATACAAAGAGCCCTAGAGGTTTGCAGCATTATCACTTTGATTGGCAATCCATTGGTGATTGGGTGGACTTGAACCCGGAACCCTGGAAACCAAAGTCCCGCTTTCTACCACTAGACCAGCTGCTTTCAAAACCTTGGAAATAAATACTATTTTCCCTATCTATGTTTTGTGAGCAGTGAACTAGTTTTTGATCTGTAGAATTTATTTGTTTTTGTACTATTTGTAAACTTTACTATTTCTGCATTTATATTTTGCACTTGATAATATTATAACGTATGCAGGCTACCAGAATTCATGGACCTGAGAGTAATTGATGTAACTGTACTCAAACAATTGGTTCCTACTCCATGGTGGCCTTCAGATGAAGTTTTTGAGGGCAAGCAACTAACTGATTATGAAGACAGAATGGAGAAATACCTCAATGTTTGCGAGACTATCAAGAACAAAACTATAGGTGAGTACGAGGTCTTTGAAGATTTCATAGTCAACAGTGGTCCCAAAACTTCAGACACTATTTTTTTTAAATCTAAATTTAATTTGAATTTTTTTTCTACAAAGAATGTGAATTGCCGTTAATTGAACGTTATTTGAACGTTATTTGAACCGTTATTTGTGCCGTTATTTGATAAACCAGAAAAGTCATATATATATTATTAAAGGAAATTTAATTTTCTACAGTCCTCTGGCTAGCATTTATTTTTGTTGCATTGTTAAAGAGATATCTGGTCAAAAAGAGCAACAAATTTGACGAAACAATGCGTTTTCCTAAATGTTCCCATCTCAATTGTAGGATATTGAAAAAATAAAACTTTTTGTATTTTGCTATAAAACCGAAAATTACCTCAGAAAATTACCTTTTGAAAACTACAAAAAGTTCCTCCCCCTCTTTCAAAGGCTTCGGGCAGGGACTTCTGATGTGTTCAACTCCTAATTAGACCAAACAAAGTTATAAAAGTCAGAAATTGTGTTCTAAACATTTCCATCTATACCTTTTTGTACTATGGAGACAGACTGATTTTTTGTTATCTTGATTCTTTGCTCTTGCTAGTAAGGCGGTAG